TAGTCGCAGAAGGATTCAAGGAGGGCTGCTCCTCAACTATCACAATGGGGGCATCCTTCCTCCCGGAGGCCCCCTTCTTCTGCTTCTTGCTCTCCGGGATAGCGGCGCCTTTCCCGGCATTCTTTCTCTTGAGCTCCTCCCTTCGGGAGCCCTCGGCTTCAGCACCAGCAACCGCAGCATTCGAAGGCACCTCACCCTCCGGGACCTGAGCATCCCCTTCCTTTTGGAAGAACTCATCGACAGGTTTCTGAACACCCGTCTCCTTCTTCTTCTTCGGCTCCTTGGCCAGCTTCTTCTTCAGCGCGGCAAAATTGGAGACGTCCATGCTAACACCTGCAAAACAACGGTAAAGTCAGACCGAAGGGGTCAACTACAAAAGAAGGGAAACGAGGAAGTACAAAAATCCTAAGTACAATAAAGCAGGCCCTTCGGTAACTACCTCCAATGCCACCGAAGGCTCTCTCGAGGACAGGGTACTGTTCGTCCTTTTCACCCAGGAAGCGATAACGCCGAAAGCCTAAGGCTAGCAAGTCCTCCGGAAGGGTTGAACCCTTGACGGTCACATGCTTTGTGGCCCCCGGCAGCAAAGCAGCAATCTTCTTCCCCTCTCTCTGGAGTGCGGCGCTTCCCACCTTCGGGTGCCTCCTGAAGTGATTCCGCAACTCCCTCGGAAATGGATTTTCCGCCATCTTAATGTAGCAGAAGCGATCCTTCCATCCTTTGTGGGACGAAGGCACGTCATCAAAAAGCCTCCATGGAGCAAGCTGCTGCAAGTTTGCAAACCCCTCGGAGTTGGTGTGCCCCCCCCGGCACAAGTTGAAGCTTTGAAAAAATAAATCGAGGGTCGCGGTTACCCCCCGAGCCCGGCAAAGCTGAAGGAAGCCGGTTATGTAAGAATGGCTGTTGGGGGTTAGCTGGCAGGGGGCTAACCCCACGTACCTAAGGTACTCGAGAAGGAACGGGTGAAGCGGGAACCGGAGGCCCATGGCAACCGACAGCACATGGACCGCAAAACAACCCTCCGGAGCCCGCAACAGGAGATCATCGGGTCCCGGTTCGATTACAGTCGCCGAAGGGCCAACATGCAGCTGCGTGACATAGCATTCTGCCCTATCAGCCTTCGATCTCAGCGCGAGGGCGGCGGTATTCAGCCATGAATGCCCCTCGGGAATTCCAACAGGCTTCCCGCAGTCAACGGCGGTTTGCTTGCCTTTCGGTGGAGCCTTCGTCTTCTTCCTTTTCTTCCCCACGGCGACACTGAGGGGTTCCGGATCTAGGGGCCGGGAGGTGCTTGCTTCTCCGGCACCACGAAGTGGGAGGACAGCAACTGTGACTTCTTGCCTCTCCTTCTCTTCCTCTTCTTCGGCCACCTGAAGCGCGAGGGCCATCTCTTCATCCTCGGCTACCTGCTCGAACTCCTCTGCCTCCAGCTCAACCCGAAGGTTACTCTGCACCTCCTCAGCCACGGCAAGGTCATTATTGGTCGAGGACTGCTCGCTCGGTGACTCCGAATCAGAAAAACTCTCTACTGCAGCTGAGGGCTCCTTCGATAAGTCTTGTGAATCGCTGGCAGAAGACATCCTTCGGCGCTTGTCTTTCGAGAAAATCGGGAGAGAAGGAATATCTAATGCCCTAACAGGACCCCAACACTAAATCTAAGGCCGAAGTAGCAAAGTATGCTAAAGAAACGAAGAACTGAAGAAGAACTGACCTTAGAAATGGGGTTTTGATCGAAGCAAAGACTTTCTCTCTCTAGAAATTTTGGCAGAGCTTCGCTATCGCATAAAAACGCACAAGGGAACTGAGCTCCGCCTTGGGGTATTTATAGGCTCCCAGCCTTGAAATCTGGGCCTCGATTTAAAAAGGCCATCATTACAGGCCGCCGGCTCAGCCAATGGGTGGCGCCCGCCCACCTTCGACCAACGAGGACACGCCACGTCAACCCCTCTTCCAACGGCTATATTACAACGACTATATTTCGGCCAAACTGGGGTGCCTTCGACTGGTAGCCTCCGGCTATCACTCACCACACCCTTCTGCCAGCAAATTTCATCAAACGCCCTCGAGCTAGCGGCAACGTAAGCCCCCGACTTGCCAGTATTATCACCCCTCGGGTTCGCATAAGCAAATCATAACTCCTTCAGCCCGAACTTGCCTTCGGCCTAAAGAAGTGGTGGACTGGGGTATACCCCTCGGGAATCATACAGAACAAAAACTTCTTCATACGAACAATTTACAATTGACGCGTGCAGCCTCCGGACAAACATCGAAGTGGAACCTTCGGCAGAGGCAGGATATCACAAGTTTTTCCCCAAGTCAATTGCGGAAATGAAGCAACCCTCATCGCAACACCCGCAGGAAGCACGTCTATGCTTCCCTCAGAAAACCCTCGACATGTGAGGGACTGAGGGGAGCCCCCGGCAGACATGCGAAGGTCATGGATAATTCCCTCAGAAAACCCTCGACGTGTGAGGGACTGAGGGGAGCCTTCGGCAATCAGCAATAGGCAAAGTTCTCCAGCAAATGCACCCAGCGAAACGAGGAAGCCTCCAGAAGAAGCACCACATCTACTCCTTTTCCCTCAAGTACCTTTCGGCAAAAGGAGTGAGGGACTCCTGATGGAGTATATGGCCCGGGAATCCCCGGCCCACAGACTCCTACTTCTCCTACACGAGTTCATTGGGCCCAAGGAACAACTCAGGCCCGAAATGCGGCGGCCCGAGCCTCAACGTAGCCCAGAGACGCACTGGGATGCCTTCGGCCTCCTTGGCCGAAGGCTCCGAACCGCACAAGGTAGCCTTTTGTGGCATGAGAGGCTACTGGGAGAAAATGGCGAAAAACATGAGCCTTCGGCATCATCGAGCCCTCGGCATCATCGAGCCCTCGGCATCAGAGAAGCCCCCGGCTAAACCATGCCTCCGGTCACAAAGAGCCTTCGGCTACACAAGGAACCCTCGGCTACACAAGGAGCCCTCGGCTACGCAAGGAGCCTTCGGCTGAACTAGCTCAATCATCGAAGATTCCTTTTAGAGACAGCCAACCACCGCATTTAAAGCCACGTCACATCCGCCAACCGCATTCAATGCGGTGAACGTACCACTGCCGGTGCCACTAGGCTGATGTGACCCTTCGTCCGTTGGATTACTGACACGTGTCCTCTCATCGCATTTATTGCTGCTATAAATAGCAGCTCATTTCTCCTTGTAATAAACACAATCTACATCTCAGCTCCACATCTCGAGTTCATTTAATAAAATCGACTCTCTCTCCTCCTATTTGCTCTGACTTCTCTCTAGTTATTTCCGCAATAACCCTTCGGATAAGATACCCCCGGGTAGGCTATCCATCAATTACCTTCAGTAAAACGCATTAACTCAATGATAAAATTATTATTAAAGTTATTATTAGTGGCACCGTCAATTAATTATTGTAAAAATTAAATACGGAGTAAAAAATAAGCATCGAGCGTTATTACTATAATTGATTAATAGACACTTAAGAGGTTACATTTCGTCTTCAATCTTTATTTCGGTTATTAATATGTCATTATTTTCAAAATTTAATATATTGGTCTTATTTGCCCGGTCCCGTCAAGAATTTATCAATTTCAACGTATTGAGCCACTTTTATTTTTAATAAACCGTTTTGAATCCTAGTTGGCTTTTTCCCGTTTAAAACATGTTTTAAACACGCACCGTTTTTTGAACAAAAAAACGCGTTTAAAACAAAAAATAATGTCGATCCGTTTAAAAAAGAAAAAAACTCCTACTTCCCGTATAAAACGCATTTTTTCCATATTTTACAAAATACATAAACATGAACTGATCAATCGAATTAGTGCATTAATTGCATAGAAGATCAAAAATAGCTTAAAAGCAAAAGAGAAAACCTCCTCCTCGTGACCCCATATTCTTGTATTGTTACAATGAAATTAATAATCACTAAAATTATTTGCATGGTGGCTAAAGCTAGTTTCCTCAAAGACCAAAACTTGAAATAACATTGGATTTATGATGTTTTTCCAATCAATCATATCAAAATTAAGGTTTTCTAAACCTGACATATCTACTGTATAAACTTTTATACATAAACATTAATAAGAATAGCAATAGCAGTCGCACAATGTACTTTTCTCATATGTCGTCGTTCATCATTTTGATGAAAATCATGAGACTAAGTTAAAATCATTGTTTTTTTATGATCATCAAATAACACTCAAGTCAAACTCATGATTTTCATCAAAATGATGAACGACGACATGTGAGAAAAGTACATTGTGCGACAGCTATTGCTATTCTTATTAATGTTTATGTATAAAAGTTTATACAGTAGATATGTCAGGTTTAGAAAACCTTAATTTTGATATGATTGATTGGAAAAACATCATAAATCCAATGTTATTTCAAGTTTTGGTCTTTGAGGAAACTAGCTTTAGCCACCATGCAAATAATTTTAGTGATTATTAATTTCATTGTAACAATACAAGAATATGGGGTCACGAGGAGGAGGTTTTCTCTTTTGCTTTTAAGCTATTTTTGATCTTCTATGCAATTAATGCACTAATTCAATTGATCAGTTCATGTTTATGTATTTTGTAAAATACGGAAAAAATGCGTTTTATACGAGAAGTAGGAGTTTTTCCCCTTTTTAAACGGGCCGACATTATTTTTCATTTTAAACGCGTTTTTTTGAACAAAAAAAACGGTACGTGTTTTAAACGGAAAAAAACTAACTAGGCTCAAAATCAGAAAATAAAATGGAAAGCAGATATTCACAAAAATCAAATTAAAAATGATTTTAGGACGGTGTACAACTTAACAAATTTGGCTAACAAGAACAAGTAGTACACCTTAGGCACTCACTAGATGTTAAAAATAGGTATTGGATGGAACGAAAAACTGTGTCCGCCCTGTCTTACAAATTACATTTCAGTACCCAAAATATCAATTAAATAATTTCTGGCACAACCACTACTGCCTGCAGAGCCTTACAAATTAGTTGTAGACTTGTAGCAACCCCATTGGCCATCATCCTTACCCAATGCATTATTGATACTTTGTCCCTTTAATATGCCCTCTAAAATACTCTGCACTTCCAATAGATTTTGAAGGTCACAATTCAGAGCAGAAATCTGAAATTGATTTTACAGATTGACCAAAACTCACATGCTCATTCAGTCTGACTGAGAAAACCAGTGGCTTCAAAATGGGAAGAGAGTCTCCTTCATCTTGTGATTCTTATCCAGTAAATGCTCATGAAGGAACTTCCAACTATGATGAAACCATTATGGAGCACAGCTTACACTTCACTGATAGTTTGAAGGTCTGGGTGTTTCAGAAATCATATATTTTGTGTTCTTCTATCTGCAAATACAGATTTCTTGAGTTTCTGTGTGTAGGAGTTGAAGTGTTTGAGGATGCAATTATACTCAGCAGCAGAGCATTTTGAGTTGTCTTTTGGAGAAGTACAGAAGCAGCGTTTGTAAGTGAGATTAAATTGATGCTGATGAATAAAGTATATTTAAGGATGAAACCTGGAATCTTAATAGAGGAATTCAAGTTTATGTGAATGTGCTCTTTTTTTAATTAACTAATAAAGATATGATTGCTGTGATTAGAGTGGTGGAAAGCTTGAAGGATTATTTGAGCAAAGCAGTGATTAGCACAGTGGATCACTTAGGGTGTGTGGCATCTAAACTGGACACTTTTTTGGATGAAAAGGTGGATGAGTTTTCTTCTACAACACTTCGACTCTCCTGCATTGAACAGGTTAGTAGTGTAGAATAGATGGTTTTTCTATAGGGTCATTAAAAAGGAAATAACGAATCACCCTGTAAAATGATGTTGAAAATACTGATTTTAGAAAGAAAAAAAATGATTAGAAATATCTGATTAGAAGAGGTTGTACTATTTGGAGTGTTGTTTGGTTACCTGTTTTTCGTTTTTTTCAACCTTATTAACATCTTTTTTATAAAAAAAAAAACATTTTTGATTTCGTATACTCCGTATATTTTAAGTTTTAAGTTTTAACTAACTTTTCAAATTACTACGGCCTTCAGAATCCTTGTTTTTTTTTAAAATGCCTTCAAAATCTATTGGAAACTTTTAACTTACTTTTCAAATTATTTTTCCTATTTTTATCACTTTTTCTTTTTCGCATATGTTTTATCTAATTCTTACTCTTTCTCTTAGGCACTTTTTCTATCGCATCTTTTCTGTCTGTTTCGGAAGAAACCTCATTTTTCATGTATGTATGTTAAAAACTTCATGGTTATTCTCTTTCGATCTTTCTTTTGTATAATTTTCACTTTCTTATTCTATGTGAACCATCAAAATTAGAGAGTTTAATTTTAATATTTTATTGGGGCGAAGGGAGCATGTTTCAATTGATATGTGTTTCTGTGAGGAAAAATTGCACCGTCCAGATGATTAGTTCACGTTCTCTCAAATTCTTTATTAATTAAGACTTCCCCTTTCAAAAAAGAAGTTCTTTTATAGAAGGAATAGTATATTGCATTTGGATTTTGTAGTTTTACATGTGAAAAATGTGGGATGTGCCATATATATACTACGTATACAGCTGACCATATATTTTATCTTGCCGCCCATATATAACGATTACTAATTTTTACTGTTGATGGACCACAGAAATCAAGATCATACCAAGAATTCATTGACCGGAGTGGACTTATGCAAAACTCCTTGGCTGTCATAGCACCAAAGTATCAGAAACATTATTATATCAACCACGGTAATTCACTTTAAGCACCTTTTAATATATACGGAGTAATATATGCTCTTACTGAGGGGTGGAGACAGGGAGGGGCTGGAGGCAGTGGCGGAGCCACTATGATGCAAAAATGTTCAATTGAACACCTAATATTTTGAAAAACATACTATGTATAAATTTAATTTAATTATTTTTTGTCCTTTCAAATTTTAATTCTACAAAAAAATGAACACCTAAAACTTGAAACATAAATCCGCCATTGGCTGGAGGGGGCCTCGGCTTCTTCAAGAAAATCATTTGACTGCCTTCCCAGTTGAATTTTTAGTTGAAATTTGGTAGGCGTAAACTAGATTTAATGAATAAGATGAATAAGATGCTAAAAAAAATCATCAAAAAATTCCACCGGGAACCGCCCCAAATGGCGACGGCCGGACAGAACCTCCTATATACGGGTGATTTGCACTTTTTATGTAAGTTCAAGGGCTTATTTGATAGTTCTCCCTAAATACTTTTAACCTATAGAAAATATGTTTATATTTTAAACTTTGACCCAACTTTTTAAGGACCAGCCTCCTTAACCATAGATTTATGGCTCCGCCACTTAGTCTTACTTGATGAGGACTCCTTACTTTATACGAAGTATACATTTGTTTATTTGTGTTCTTTTTGCATTTTATTTTTTAATGCGTTTTATTTCTTAATTACTCCCTCCGCCATAATGTGAACTCCATTCTTTCTTTTTTCACCCTTCTCGCAATAAACTTTATTTTCTTTTATGATAATTAATGAACAACTCATGGTTCGTATGAAATGTTATTTATCTCTTCACTTCACAATTTTCAATTGCATAATTGTCTCTTTTTTAATATACGTGCAAAGTCAAAACTGAAGTTAATATTGGGTCAGGGTATTTTTATTGTTTAATAAGAGGCACATTGTGTGGGTCAGGAAAGTCAAATGAGAAAAACAGTTCAGAGAAAGCCTCAGTGTACTTAGAAGATGATATGCACCGAAGTCATTACAAGCGAGGTACATTTTTGTTTTGCTGTATTTTGAGTGTATATATTTATTGAGTACATTTTTTTAAATTGTTTACTTGCGTTGACTTTCAGCTTTTATAGGACCAAGTACAGCAAAGGGACGTCCTCCCATACATAGGTAAATCCATGCTTGCAAAGACTTTCTTATAGCCAATGCCTCATTATTGGACTGATCCTTTTAGTATTAAGTTTTTAAATCTAATTTTCGCTAAATATAATTAACTTAGAGTAAGTATTATCCATTTTTTGTGAAAGTATTTACTCACGTTTTATTCTTTTATGTTACCAACCAATAAACCTCTAATTATGAAGTTATAATTTTAAAACTTATTTTATTAATTTATACTCCGTATTTAAAAATCACCTAATTCGATTTAAAATAAATACGCATAGACATACTTTAAAAACGTGGAACCTGGCAAGAAAGTTGTGTCATAATCGTGATGTGTAAGGCTAAAAATGGAAAGTGACGACTCACTAGGGAACAAGGTTGGGTCCATAAGGCTGAAAGTGGATAAAGATACTTGTCACTTGAAGGGAAAGAGGATCCTTCCCTTCCCAGAGGCCCCCCTATATCCACCTTGAATTGAAGTGAAATGTATTGGTCTGATTTGATTTGATCTGGTCTGATCTAGTCTATTTAAGTTTAGTACGGTTTGGTTAGATAAATGTTTGGTCTCTATGTACACGTTTACTTCACAAGTTACTAAACAGTTCTTATTAAGATTCGCGTTAATACGGCGCATAAAATAAGTAGTGTTGTAAGCTCATGTTTACTTAAAAGGATTTAAAATCGTTTACTTAAATTGTCCAAAATAACCCTATCATATATAGGCACACAAACATTCATGAACACATGTATATAATATAATACGTGGGGTTCACCTCGTACACGTACCCAAACCCCTAACCCCTACCCCTTAACCCCTACCCATACCACGACCTTACCCTCAAACCCTACTCCCTACAACCCACATACCTGTAGGGGTGGGGTCGAGGTCAATGTGGGATCGAGGTAGAGGGTAAAAGGGTAGGGTCGGGGGTTAGGGGGAGGGACAGGGGTGGGGAGTGGATAGGTAGGGGTCCGGGGTTTAAAGGGGTAGGGCGAGGGTGATGGGGTAGGGTGGTAAGGGCTATGGGTAGGGTAGGGGTAAGGGTTGGGGTATGGTCAGGGGGTTAGGGTAGGGGAGGGGGCAGGGGTGGGGTCAGGGCCGGGTCGAGGTAATGGCAAGTGGTGGGGGTGGGGTAAGGGGTGTGATCGGGGTAGGGTAGGTTTTGGGGTGGGGTGAGGTGGGCCGGGGTAAGGTAGGGTTGGGTAAGGCAGGGATCGGGGTAGAGGGGTACCAATAGGGTAAGAGTAAATTCGGAAACTGAAAAAGATTAAAGTGTCGCTTAATTAATACATACTGAGGTGATATGCTTAGTAAGCGGGAGTTTAACCACCTCTTTCGGTTAGTAAGCGGTTTTTGAAGCAACTTGCATCTTTACTTTACATGTCTTATTAACCTAATTGTGAATTTAGCAACGAAGGAAACACGTCCTATGTATTTTACTACCTCCGTCCCGGTAGACTTTGTCAAGTGCAAAGTAGGTGAGAAATAAGAATAGTAAAAACTGTGTGGTTGAGATTTGTGCAAAAGAGAGATAAATGTACAGAACCACAAATTAGTTGTTCCACAAATTAGTTGTTTTAATAGGGAAGTGACAAAGTTTTTTGAGGGACAATAACAAAGGGATAGTTGGCAAAGCCCAATAGGATGGAGGGAGTATAATTTTTCAAATCTGGTCTGGTTTGACTTCTAAGTATGTTCTGTTTAAATTTGATCTGATCTGATTTGATTTGGTTTGTGATTGAAAAGAACCCAAAAGAAAATATGGTTATAATGTCTTTCGTATAAAGTAAGGTGGGACAATGTTACCCCTAAAAGAAGTGACGAAGATAAAAGGATAATGAATAAATCCGTAAAAAAGTAGTGCAGTACATTTTATTTCAAGTTCTATTCAATCGTAGTACTACGTATTAGATTTTCTGTTAAACTGTCATAGGGGTGTTTGGTTAGCGGCCTATCAATCATATTTTGGCTGATTTGACCAATATTTGACTTTTTGATCAGATAAACAGTTAATTGAAGTGTTTGGTAAGTTGGCTTTTTCACTTGGCTTGTTATCCAAAACAGCCAAAATCCAAAAGGCTGATAAATCCAGCGTTTAGCTACCGGCTGTTTGAACATTACGCCTATATATTCCTATTCTACCCAAGCCGTGTTCTCTTCTTCGTGCGTTGCATTCTCCTCTTCAACTTAAAATAAAAAAAGCAGAGCATTGAATGCTAGGTTATTACACACGAAGGTTGTCCCTTGAACCTAAGTCCAACTTGAGAATATAAAGACAAAAGCATAAATGATAATGCATATAAATCATTCGGAGTATAAATCACCGCAATAAAATTTGGAGTGGAAACTCTCCATAATTCCTGGTGCAACGCGCCATAACAGATTCAGCAAAAGATGTTAAAATAATTATTACTTGTTTTCATTATTTTATTATTTTTTAGATCATAATCTAATTTTTAAGTAGTTGTACTAATAATATTAACAAAAAAAAGTTAATTGATGTCCTTAAAAGTAATTTAACAAGTTATCTACCGATTGTAAATAGCCGTTTAACCAAACACTATTTTATAAACTGCTAACACTATTAGCTAATCAAAACAGTCAACAAAATCCTATATCACCAATCAGCCAACAAGATCAATCAACGCCCAACAGCCAACATGCAATTGCCAAACACCTCCATAGACTCATCGGCGGTTCTAGCTACTATCACGGAGCGAGTGAAATCTATATATTGTAACTATTGGTAATGTTGCTTTTTGGTACCTTAACTCTTAAATGAATCAAAAATGTGTTTTAACTATACATTAATGTTTCAAATTGAGATTTTATTCAAATTTCTGACAAAAAAATCACGTGGCAGCCAAAATTCTATGCTTAAAGTTTACTTCACCATATTTTTGTCCATATGATCACTATAGGGTGACGTTATACATGAAATTTTGATCATCATGAAAGATTTTTTGGTCGAAAATTTGATTAAAATCTCAATTCGAAACATTTATGTATAATTAAAGTATTGTTTATATTCATTTAAGAGTTAAGGTACCATTTATGCATTTTACACATCACGGAGCATGTTTCAATTCAAAGTTTTTTGTCCACTATTCACCGATCAACGCAAATTATTTTTCTTTTTTTCTTTTCTTTTATGAGAACAAGTATTCTAATCTTTTGTTTTATATATCCAATTTTTATTAAATTTGACATCACTTCACAACGGTGGCGTGTCTCCATAAAATTGGTTCGTCGGCTTTTTGATATTTGATATTTGAAATTGAAAGAAATCACCTTCTCCACTATATAACATCCTCTATTAGATGGTGAATTTTAATAATGCGTGTTTTCTTTTAAAATACTCTGTAATCAAAAGCGTGTTTTTTAAAATAATGCGTGTTTTTTTAGCTGATTTCTGTGCCAATTGCCAAATCTCATCTTTTAGATTTGTGGGTACTGTTTTGTGGACTGCGGTTGAAAATCCAAAAACAGAATTTGAAAGAATATGATTTGTATCATAGAAAGAGCAGGGGAGGGAAGGTTAAAAAAATTGGGTAAAGTTTATATAGGCTGTAACCCTATATAACATTTTTGTGGAAAAGAATGTCACAAATATTACTCCCCAACTTTCATTGAACAAAAATATGATCATTTTTTTTAAACCATAATGTGACCAAATCTTTTCGGTTTTCCCTCTACACTTGAAGACCTTCTACGCTGGAACAAATCATCACCGCGAGCAGAGAAGACCTCCCAGGCCGTCGCGAGGCCTATAATGGACTAAAAGGGACTATGTATACACCTTACTAGATGCTTAGAGTATATGTAATTTCTAATATTCTAATTTCAAGTTTAATACTTTTTTATAATTGTGAATAGTTGTAGACATGTTGTAGCAGCTAAGGGAATATAATTACGTTGCAGGAAAAGAAATCCCAAGCCATCATCAATAGAAGCCTCACCAAATCCAAATCCTCAGGCATTTTCTTTTATGAGGAATGCACCTACCAAGGAAGTTGGTAAGTTTCAACACATGCATAGACAGATTGAGATATTGTTACTTGTAGTGGCAGCATAATATAGTGACATTTCTAAACATCAACATGACAATCCCAAATCAGAGAAGCGGTCACATTCTCCACTTCGCTTTATGATTAAGCGATCGGGATCATATGCCAATAGATCGGATTCTCCCACTCCTTACAATCAACAACGGGTAATGCTTCATAATATTATCACCTATCTCTGATCAGAGTAGCTAAGAGATGCTCCATATAGAGAACTAATAGCTTTAACTTGTGAAATGACAGTGCCCATCAGCGCCTAGGAGAATGGTTCATGCAAATACAAATCAAGCGAGGCACGATCCACAAGATTTGGAACTCCAATCTAAAAAGGCTAAACATATGCTGAAAGCGTTGCTTAACATCCATAAGTCAAAAAAAGGAGTAGTATCCAGTTACCAGGATAAGAGGTGAAAAAAGGAATCAAGATTCTTCATTTCAGCATGGATTATTTTGTGTATATTTTAGCCAGCCCATGTGTTGTTCTTCAAGATAACCCTTCTCATTTGGAACACCACAAGATGCAGTGATATATATAGATATTAAAAGTTCTTATTGTGACAAGACCTTTTATCGTGAGAAATTATAATCTCTAATTTCCATTTTTCTAATCAATGGCTAACACTCATGGGGTATCATGTTTGTAACTATCCTAAACTCAAATAGGGTATTTTTTGGCACTTACTGTAAAATAATTCTGAAAATTGCCATATTGTGAATATTACAAATGCTATGGACTTTATAAATGGTTATGGCCCACATGGCCACTTATAAATGAAGCTTATTAGTTTGTACTGGTTGAGTTCAAAATCCGAGATCAAAACTTGGAAACCCATCGTCTTTACTTCCACCGGTGTTGAGCTCAACATTGTCTTCGGTATCATGAAGGACAGCCACTTCAAGGGCACTTGACTGAGATTTTGAAGGACAGAGTGGTTCTACTTCACACTCCTTTGTCTCTTGACAATGTTGCATCACCTCTAAAGCAAATTCAAAGGACTTTTCTTTTCTTTTTGTTTCCAATCTTACGTTCCCTTCCTCTTCTTTTCCATCTGGTATTCCTATTTCTACAGAACTTTCATGTGAGGAGGAAGGATGCTGTTTTAAAAATAATAGCAAAAGTAAGCAATTAGAAGAGGAAAAGGTATGATAAAAAGTGATTTTATGTTTCTAATGTTTACCATCTTGGAAAAATTAGGGAGTAGGTCATTTGTTGTTGCTCCAAGTATCTCTCCAGTTAGATTTTCTGCACATGTACACGATCAAACCATAGCACTTCCACTGACTAAAAAAAGTCTCTTAAGTGGGTTTGGTACTAGTAGTTTGGCACTTCCACGTACATATTCATTAATAAGGCAAAAGAGAACTTGAGCTTGCCTCTAAAGTAAACAGTAGATTCAACAGCTATAGGTTTGCAGCTTGTGGTATCTGTAATGATGGTTTCTTCATCTTCTTCTTTGCGAAGTCTCTTGTGATCTGATGGTTGCATTGTTTCGATCTCATCAGGAGAGGCACCTTCCCTTGAAACATGTCCCGAAATAATGGGTTTCTTTAGATTACACAAGATTTCACAAGCTGCAAAGAGGTGCAGACTTCAGTGAGTATACATACAGAGGGGTAACTTTATAGTCACCCCCCTCCCCCCCACACACAAAACTACTAGTACTAAATAAAATCAATAGGGTCTATTGTGATCTAGACTACACTTCAAAACTTTAACCAAGAATCTGATTCCTTGCTTCAATGGTCCTCATGTATCAAAGTACAAAGAAAAAATAGCTAAAGAACAGTGGGGTATCACAGCTTACCAGCACGTACATGCTTCTTGGAAACTTCAGCGCCGATGGTAGAATTTGCGAAACTGGAGTTTCTAGGGTTCAAATTCACTCCCTCTTTCAAAGATGTTCTATTTTGAGCTTTGCCTGAAATTGTTAAAAATGTAATACTGAGAGCTCAATACAAATTTCATTGGGGCACTGGGCATAATTTATGCCACAGTAAAATGGTAACCTGAAAATATTGGAGTACTAATTTTCCATAAAGTATATTGGATATCACCTTTGTCCCATTTTATGTGTCTTGTTTTGATTTGACACAATTATTATTAAAGTTGTGGTTGAGGTTTGAGTAGAATAAAGTGAAACTATATGAACCATATATTTCTTACCAAAATAGGAGATATGACATTTATTTTGGGACAGTCCAAAAAGAAAAATAAGACACATAATATAAGATGGAGGGAGTATTTATTTTAGGTAGCTTATGATGAGGGTACATCATCTCACATTCTGACCATATAGTTTTACCACTGCATAGGTATACTACTGATGACTACATCAAGCAGCAGTTATATACTCTTCAGATGAATGTGTATATTGAGCCTTGTGGAATTTGGATTCCACAAGCAATGAATGGAAGAATAAGCCAAAAAGAGAGGAAACTTAGTATGTTTCCAGATTCATTAATGCTTACTGTGCAAAGTTTCTGAATTGCTTTCAAGAGCAGAATTGTTTGCAGAGATGCCCCTGCTGAACTTGCTATTGTTTAAACTGAATCTTTTTGTGATTGAAACAGTATCTTTATGGGCATAAGCGCCATGTTGAGGTTCTATGTATTCAAACAGAACAAAAACATGTTCACGGTTAGATACTAATACTAACATAAGAGCTATAAGTAGCATAACTCTAAGGGCCTGTTTGGATGGAGTGTTGGGGCTTGGGAGGTGTTAGTATGGAAGTGTTAATAAGTGTTGACACATGTCCGGACAGGCAGGTAAGTGCAAGACATTAAGTGTTTTCAAGTAAATTGATAAAAATATCCCATACCTTTTAAATTTAGATATTTAATTAAAATAACTTATTTGCATGCTCCATTATAAAATACCACCGTATTATTGTAATGCTCCATTATAGAATACGTAGTAGTATCACTGTATTATAGTATTCAAAAGTACAGATTGAAAGTGGAGGCACAGTGAATCAACGTCATGGCAGAAAAATTAAAGAAATATACTACATATATATTACTCCTACACTATACGAAAACATATACTTTTCGCAATATATACCTATACGGAAACATAACGGAGAATTGAGGGAAGAATTGAAGGTGAGTTCAAACTAAACTAGACAAGAGAAACAGGAACGAAATAAAAACATGAAGTGCAGGAGAGGCCAACCGAGGAATATATATTTTAAATGAAAAGGTGTTGGGAAGGTTATGCTTAACACCCCCAAACCTTTACTAACACCCCAAATGTTTGTAATTAAGTGTTAAGGTCAATGCTCTTTAACACTTCTATTACTAACACTCCTCAACACTCAAACCAAATAGTCCCTAAGGTACTAAGGCCAACAACCCAATTACTACAAAGAGTGCCAACGAAGATGCTAATTCATATTGTATATATTTTGCAAAAAACATCATATATAGGAACTGAACGTTTTTCCATGCACAACAGAAAAAGACCTTCTAGAACTGTGTGAGTTTCGCCAACTTCAACTAAGTAATTTGGAAGATTTAATGTAGCTCCAGTTTCCACATGTTCAGATGACTTGAGGAACCTGCGACCTAGTATGTCTCCCCCTTCTGTGAGCAGGGTGACCTGCATTGCATATGGAGTTGATTCAGATATAACTTCAGATTTGCTAATAAATGAATGTATTTTACTCTTTACTAGACAGGCTCTTTGGATTTGGGGAAAGCAACAATTGATCACTTATGGCACACACTCTTCAAAGACGACTAGCACAATCAAATATAATGGCGAATGTGGATTCAAATATAACTGACCTGAGATTGAAAGGAACCACAAGACGAGAGTCTGAGAACTCCACTATTATACTTCTTTCTTTTCTGAGTTAACTGAGAAGTGTACATGACATACCATTCTGCATTTATAGAACTTAGTACATCGTGGAAAGAACAGGTGGGGTGTATTATTGTCTCTCTCCCATAATTGTATATAACACAGACTACAGAGTATATACAAAATAAAGTCAAAGTGTAGTGCATGGTCATGTGTGAGAGTGAGACCACAGGAAAGCTACAAATAGGCACCAAAGTAATTTAGGAATTTAATATTTTAGCAAAATTATACTCCATCAATCTCACTAAGCTTATCCAAGTCTGCCTATAATGTAGAGTCGTAGAATAAGAAAGTTACAATTGTGTGTTTGAGGGAGAAATAATTTTAACCACTAATTTGTTACATTAAAGGAAAATTGTCAAAGTTTTTGAGAACCCGAATAAGGAAAGTTGGCAAAGTTTAGTGGGATGGAGAATGTAATTTTTCTAATAGACTAATACAAGTAGCTTCTGCACTACAAAGAAAACAAAAATATGAATGATCAGGCACTTCATTAAATGGAAACTGTGTAGGTGATTATTCTACCAGAAGGAGAGGTACGCTGACAGTGTATTTGATCATGTGTCACTCCAATATTTCTTCCTTTAAAACTTGAGTCTAGAAGAGGCTTTTGATTTCCTTCACATTCTCCAATCTCTACTAAGAAACCATCAAAAGTTATTGATTCGCCACACTGAATAGTTTCACTCACTTTCAGAAACCTGCTACTCAAGAGTCCTTTGGCAACATCATAGAGCATGGCCTGGCAGAACACAAAAGTAGCAACTGATAATGAATGTGTGATTGTCTGAGCTACTACTACATATTAAGTTCATAATATTTCACCCCTAGTGTGGAACTAAAATCTGAGAATATTAAGTAAATGCAAGCTAATTGAGAAGCTAATACAGAAAATAGAGAATGCATTAGGCAGCCGGTCACAAACAAATGAGAAAATCAACCTGCTTGCATTGTGAACCACTCATCGAAACTTGTAAAAAACCATCATGGAATTTCTTAGCTTTTTGAGTTAATTGAGTGGTGTACAAGACCTGCCATTCTTTAAAAAAAGAGTGAAAAAAACTGCATGAGTTGCAATTACCAAAAGCAAATAGAAGATAGTCAAAAGAATAAAACCAGAAGAACTGAGATTTTTACATACATGTGAAGCAATTTTAGATTTTCTAGCCTACCTCCATCCCAGGATTTTGTAGTATCAAGACAACTTGGAGAAGAACTATACTTCTGCCCCTCAACTTTCTTGAACTCTGAAATTTGGGGACATCAGTCACTCCTCTTAACCATTAGATTATTAAATCACGCCCTAGGTTTATATGTGAACTTCTACTGTTTACCCTTTTGACTTTAATCCTGCTCTTAAAAGGAGAACTGAGTTGAGTGGAAAATGGAAAAGACGCAAACTCATACCTCCTCAGTTCCTCCGTTCTTTTTAATTGCAATGGTCCACTTTTCACGTTTGCCACGCACAAGTTTGAAATTAATAAATTCATATTTTGAAAATTTAAAATGAAAGGAATTTAAAAATATTTTTTAAAAAAATAATTTATAATACATTAATAAATAAAATGAAGTCACAATAGAATATGTGAATAGTGCAAAATCACCAATGTTGCAACTAAAAGAGCGGAGGTAGTATCACAATTCACAATTTACATGTGCTCGTATAGTCTTATCACTTATAAACCTGAGGAGAGAGTTGTGGCAGATATAATGTGATAGTAAAAAACCCCAAAATTCATAAAGCACTCTTCCCTATGGGAGAAATGATTGTAAATGAAAAAAATTTAAAAGCTAAACATGGATGATTGAACACCAGGGAGAGAAATATTGACAAACCTCTTATTAGTTTCTGTGATGGGCTTAGAGAACTTGTCAATGCTTTCTTCTCCCTGACATATGGCTTCCTGTCCTCTGGTGTAACACTAAGCAATGAGAAAGATGTTTAAAGGCCAAACAGCATAGAAGACAAGATAGTAACAAAGATGAGTACCAACAACTGAGCTATTCCTGAATTTAGGGTTGTGAAATGACCGGGGTTTCATATCAATATTCTTATCCCTTGCCTCAGAAGTTTCATTTCCTGTGGGCTTGTGTTCACCATGTAGATCACCAATATCAACAAGGAAAGAATCAAATGCTAGTGTTTCGCCTGATTTAACATTACTTTCAATCTTCATAAACTTACTACCCAAAACCTTCTCACAATCATCATAGAGAGTAACCTGTTTAAGGAAATAATAAATAAATAAAATAAGAAAACATCTTAAACACACATAGTGGCATAATAAATACCAATGCAGGCCTTTCTTTATTAATGAAATGATTCTTAGAGGACATAACAAAGTGATAAGAACAACTGCTCAACCATCCCTGTAATAACTTCAAATGAAATCTTATCAACAACAACCAATACATAATTGTGTTCTGTTTCATGTGAGTTATGAACAAACATTATGTGAAATGTTGTTTGGATTTGTATACACATCATTGCCTATATACACTATCATTACTAAATAAGTGCATACGGATGGCCAATAATACGCTCGGCTCAGGGGAATCAACCCTGCTCAAATTTAACTTCGAATTTGGGAAAGAGGAGAGGATAAAACTAGTTCGATGAAGGAGATAATGCAGTAATTACACGGAACATGCAGTTAAATTTCAGCACATGAAACAAAAGTAAATAAAACAAATGAGCCAAAGTCGGAATGCGCGAATGACTTGCCTTGTGGCTTGAAGAGTGAACCTCTAGAAAACCGTCTTGGTACACTTTGCGCTTCTGCTTGATGTGCTTCGTGTACGTCACGTCCCAGCGCTTCGCATCCCCCATTATCGACGCTGGAAGTAAAATAAACTCCGCGCTTTAGCAACTCCGGTTTCGAAATGCGACCTCAGAAATTAGTTAGAACATACTCAGTAAAATAAGTCAGAAAACGGAAAACAGTGGCGATATGCAGCTCCAAAGAGCGGGAAAATTAGAGTGCTGTTTCTAGGCGTGTAGGGGTTGATTTTGATTCTATTTTTTTTTCTATCTCTAAAATAGAAATAAAAACTTAAAAAGTGGGTTGATTCTTGAGGACTCGATTGCTCGAACAATAGATTTTTGAGGGCAGGGTGTGAACTCCTGTTGAAAAATGTCATTCAGGCAGCGCCGATCTTATCTTATGAAAGTGTTTATTTTTGGGAAAAATAATCAAGGCGGTCTTGAGAAACTTTTGGGCCCTAGACAAAAACTAAAGGAAAATGCTTAGTAGGTTGTACACAAATTGTACACAAAACCCACCTAGTTGTCTGTGTACACAGGCAATTCATTTAAAAAGTGGCAGGATTTGATGTCAAATGTCTATGTACACAGACAATGTACACATTTTGTGTACGTCTTGTGTACACCAAGAATGGTCCAAAACTAAATTAGATCTTCGTATTGGTGAAAATTGTTAGACATAAGATATCATTTTCGCTATTGACGGTCTCCCATTTTTTAAATTGAAAAAAAATAATTCTGAAAAAAGAAATTTGATAGATTTGACACATGATTTATTGGGAATGATCTTTAGTCTTTGTAATTATACGTACCAATCAATGAAGAATTGGCATGAAAGAGTTTGTCTGATTAGACCATTTGTAAGTGTCCAAATAGTTAAATTTGGACTCCGTGCATATGAAAACACTGTTTAGATTCCGTCAATACAGTTTTTCCCACATCCGTGCACTGTCAATAAAATACACTCTGCATATTTTTTACATATGAATTTAGTAAAACATTTTGACAATTAAATTATTATAAGTAATGTTTTTACTTTTAATTTTTCCCCTGAATAATTATGCAATAAAAAATACACATTTTGATATAAAAAAATATTTTTCATAGTTTTTTTTTAAACATTTTTCGGTTAAAAAATGAATTTGTTTAAGTGAAGTTCGATTATAAATTATTCAGTTATTTGTGAAGGCTCCATGAATTAAAAATTTGTGTTTCGTTTTTTTAGCTCAAGAAACTGCAACAGTTACAATTTCAAAAAATCATTTTATATATCACATATGGATGTCATATAAAAGATCATAAAAATTAATGAATCTTGATATATTTTTGGAAAAATTTAGATGACAAATAAAAAAGTTATGCAAGTTTAATAAAAATTGGGATATAATGATGCAAGGGTTATGTGGTGCCTTTCTTTTTCTTTTTTCTTTAATTTTTTCTTTTATCCACTCCTCTAAACTCGCCCTCTATATTTAACACCCTCCATCCCCTTTCCCACTTTTACTACCCATTTTAAACCACCACTACACACAATTAGGAGTCTCAAAATTCCACATTTAGCATTTTGGACTCCTAATACCTCACTACTCCAAAGGGTCTTACCGATTGGTCTTAGTGAATATTATCACTTTTTATTTAAATTTTGGTAGTTTCTATTTTTATTGCAATATTTGCATTTTCACATTTGTCAATTGACAAGTTTGATCATTAATATATTTCTTTTCCTTTTAGTAAATATAAATAAACATCAGATTTTGATAATTTAATAAGAGATATTTAAAAACATTTTGCAAAAAATAAGTTTACAATGCATTGATAAATAAAATTTAGTCAAAGTAGATATGTGAATGATGTAAAATTCAACCTATTGCACCTAAAAACAAATGGAAGTAATACATATTTAATTTTAACTATGGAGATTTTTGAGTATACATTATACTATGTACGTACTAGACATATTTTTTATGTGGTGCCCTACACAATGATGGTGCCCTAGGCATTTGCCTTATTTGCATTACACAATGGGTGTGATATAAACATCACAAACTTTCATATGTAATTAAAATATCCCAAATTTTATACAAAAAGTTATTTTAGCACCAGAATCATGTGTTTTTTATTTCAAAAATGTAAATTTGTGGTGTTAATTGATAAAATTAATATGAATACGTGCAGAGAAAATATGAAGGGAAGAATTCTTATTAAACATGATACTTCACTTACGTATTATTGAGTATGCGTATCCTTATATGATACATGGCTTGGGTTACGTTCATGCATGATAAAAAGAAAGACAAATGCATGTGGTGGAAGACAAATACACATGTGCATGGATATGAGGCATATAACATATGACACCCACGTACAAATGCTATAGGGAAGGTCACACTACATGTAATAATGCAAATAAAATAATATCTTCAATACTCCCCCTCAAGGTGGAGTGTGGTCGTGTGGAGGTTACGAACACCCAGCTTGCTCCGGAGGAATTGAAAACGATCTGTACCGAGTGCCTTGGAAAAAATATCTGCCACTTGTGCTTCAGTAGGAATTGAGCGTGGTTGGATTTCAAGACTAGCCACCCACTCTCTCACAAAGTAACAATCCATTTCTACATGTTTGGTGCGTTCGTGGAACACCGGATTAAGCGCTATTTGTCGTGCTACTTGATTATCACAGTAGAGGGGAGTAGGCCCGATATGGTTAACGGTGAGGTCTTGGAGTAACCAACGTAACCATAATATCTTACTGACTGTGACAGCCATAGCACGGTATTCTGCTTCAGTGGAAGAACGAGAAACAACAGACTGTTTCTTTGTACGCCAAGATATTGGTGAGCTACCAATGGTGATAAAATATTCAGTACTAGAACATCGGGTAAAGGGGCATCCTGCCCAATCTGAATCGCAATATCCATTTAGGGCAATATCATTATCGGATGATAAAAAAATTCCTTGCCCAGGTGTCTATTTTAAATATCGTAGAACACGGATAGCAGCATCGAGATGTGACTGTCGTGGGCTACTAAGAAATTGACTGAGCTGGCTGACCGAGTAAACAATATCAGGTCGGGTCACTGTGAGGTAAAGCAAGCGACCAATCAGGCGTCGGTAAGAGGAGGCATCCACAAGGGGGCTATTATCATTGGGGCGAAGTTTTAAATTTTGCTCCATAGGGAACAGACCGGGACGCCCCGCTAAGAACCCACTTTCTTTTAAAATGTCAAGGGTATATTTTCGTTGACTCAAAACGAAACCCTCGGGAGAACGAGCAACTTCAATGCCAAGAAAGTATTTTAATTTTCCCAAGTCTTTAATGCTAAAAGTGGTGTCCAAGTAACTCTTGACTGTGGTGATATGAGAGATATTATTTCCAGCCAGGATAACATCATCTACATAGATAAGTGCAAAGGTGTTTATGGGGCCCTGGCAAAAAAACAAATAGAGAATGATCTGCCTTTGATTGGCGAAAGCCGATCCGGGTGAGGGCTTGAGTGAATTTGTGATACCAATTACGAGAAGCCTAACGTAATCCGTACAAGGATTTATGTAACTTGCAAACACGAGTATCACCATTTTTCACGAATCCTTGTGGGATACGCATATACACATCCTCAGATAAATCGCCATGAAGGAAAGCAGTGTTAACGTCAAGTTGATGAACCACCCAGTTACATTTGACCGCAATAGTCAACAAGCAACGTACTGTGACAAGTTTGGCAACTAGTGCAAAAGTCTCATGAAAATCAACTCCTTCAACTTGAGTAAAACCCTTAGCTACCAATCTATCTTTGTAACGATCCACTTCACCATTGGGTTTGTATTTAGATCTATAAACCCATTTTGAATCAATTATTCTTTTCTTTGGTGGTGGATGGACCAAAGTCCATGTTCCATTTTTTTGTAAGGCTTGAATCTCCTTTTGCATGGCTTCCCGCCATAAAGGATCCCGAATTGCCTGTGAAAAATATTTGGGCTCATCACGTGAAGTGATGGCCGCTAGGAAAGCTTTATGTGATGATGAGAAATTTTTATAACTGATAAAATCAGAAATAGGATATACTCTCGAGTCAACTGAGTTGACGGTGGATTGAGAATGATCAAGTGAAGGTGGCAGATTGGTTTCATAATTTTCCAAATACTTCGGAAACTTGCGAATTCTAGCACTCCCTTTTTGTTCAATATTGGGTGTAATGCATGGAGTCACAACCGATTGATCTGAGGGTCCCACCGAAATTTGCTCATGTAAAGAACTATCAACATTGGGATAGATAGTCTGCAAAGGTGGTCCATGTACGCCATTAGGTGCATTCACATATTTCCACAATGTGAGCTGCTAGAAGTAGTCAAAGGAGCCGTTGTCTTTTCTATGGGGCCACCATTACGTTATGTTTGCTGCTGGTGCATGGAGTCCCTATCCACTTGAGCTGGCTGAGCAAACGGTAGGTTTTGAGTGTATTGTTGCTCGTTCGTAGAAGCTGGACGAGAACATGTACTGATAGACAAGGTGGGGCCGGCGTGCGCAGATGATGGGTCTCTCGTGAGCTGCTCTTTGCTCATGAAATTTGACTGAAAGCTTGTTCTAGGAGATAAGGTGGGCTCAACACTTTCTTGGACAGGTGAGGACAATCCATCCGTTTTATGGTTGTCTCTTGATGTGTGATTTTGTCCATTTGCAGTAGTATGGCTAGAATCACCCAAGCTACCATTATGTTGAACAAAAGGGGATTGCTCTCTGGGTGCTATAGGATGATTTACAATTGGATTTCCATAGTCCACTATGCGATGATAAACCTTATCTACAAGCACAGAAAAATCAAGCTCCTGTTCGGACATTATTTTAAAAGGGAACTTTTCTTCAAAAAAAGTTACATCCAGAGAGCTATAAACACTGTGTTTTTCTAAATCGGAAACTTGATAAGCCTTTTGACCATATGGGTATCCAATTAATATACAAGGGCTCCCCCTTTCACCAAATTTATCCTTTCTCTTATTATCGCGTGCATATGCCAAACATCCAAATACCCGCAAATGGTCATAACTGGTAATTTTCCAAACAACATTTCATAAGGACTTTTGTTAAAAATCACAGGTGATGGAAGCCTATTAGTGATGTAAACTGCTGTCAAAATGCATTCTCCCCAAAAATCAATAGGCAACCCAGACTGGACACGCAGTGCCCTTGCAATTTCCAAAATGTGTCTATGTTTGCGTTCTACTATCCCATTTTGTTGTGGTGTGTCCGTGCATGATGTCTCTAATAATATCCCGTTGTTGCTATAATAATCAAATAAAATGTTGGTTTGAAATTCTACACCATTATCCACCCGTATTCGTTTGACCTTTTGCTCAAATTGGGTATCCACCATATTGCAGAATTGAATTAAAAGTTGCGGAACTTCAGATTTATTTTTCATTAAATAAACCCACACACCTCTAGTAAAATCATCAACAATAGATAGAAAATATCGTGCTCCGGAGATTGAATCACATCGATAAGGTCCCCAAATGTCACAATGCATCAATTCAAAACAGCGAGTTGACTTAATTGCACATGTAGGAAATGGTAGTCTGGTCTGCTTAGCACGAACACAAGGATCACAAAAATTATTGTTCCGTCGGAAACCCTTGAGGGAACTAATATGATGTATTTTTCCATTTGATGCATGCCCCAAACGTTGATGCCACAAATTGGAGGTAGTAGAGACGGACAGTGCCACTCTTCCACTTCTAGAGGATTCCAAGTAGTAAAGACCATCACAAAATTTACCCACACCAATCAATTTTCGTGTGGATAAATCTTGTAAAATACAGAAGTATGCGAAAAATATTAGTGTGCAATTCAGGTCGCTTGTTAGGCGACTAACTGAAAGAAGATTACACTGGAATTTCGGAATGTATAGAACACGCTTAAGATGAAGCCCATTTAGTAAGTACGGAGTATAAACTACCAACAGCATGAACCGGAATTGATTCACCATTAGGAATTTTGACTGACGGCTCCGATGTGGGAGTGATGATATTAAAAAGATTAACTTCACTGCAAGTGATATGTTCACTGGCTCCTAAGTCAATTATCCAGGGGCGAGCATGTGGCAATGTATCTGCCATATTCACTTGTGAACCAAAGAAGGAGGGAACCATAGTCCCGTGGCTCATCTCAACGGTTAGATCATCAATCGCCATAACTGAGATAAAAAAAATTATAGGAGAGAAAACTGGACTTTTTCTTTCAGGATTTTGGCTCTGATACCATGATAAAATTAATATGAATACGTGCAGAGAAAATATGAAGGGAAGAATTCTTATTAAACATGATACTTCACTTACGTATTATTGAGTATGCGTATCCTTATATGATACATGGCTTGGGTTACGTTCATGCATGATAAAAAGAAAGACAAATGCATGTGGTGGAAGACAAATACACATGTGCATGGATATGAGGCATATAGCTTATGACACCCACTTACAAATGCTATAGGGAAGGTCACACTACATGTAATAATGCAAATAAAATATTATCTTCAATATTAATTGCATAATTTAAAATAACAAATTGAAAATGTTGCAATTATATAGAGTGGGAGGTGATACTATTTATTTTATAATTAAAGTTTAGAATGTTAATTGTATCTTCATGAACGCTAAAATATTTTAAATTATGAAATTAACACAAAAAATTAACATTTTTGAAAGAAATAATACACGACCATGATGCTAAAATAACTTTTTATATGAAGTTTGGGGTATTTAAATTACATATGCGAGTTTGAGGTACTTACCTCACACCTCTTCAAAGTTTGGGGTATTTTATTTATTTTTCCCTTTATTTTTCCTAAAAAACGTCAATTAGTTTGTTTAAAGCTTCAATTGTTTAGTATCCGTTGTGAACCTTAACTTTCTAAAAGTCATTCTCCGTGCAGAAAAATGTTGTCTTTTCTAAAGCAACGGAATTAAATCTATTCATTTGTAGAAGATTTTTGCTCAATGTAGAGAACATTGATATGTAGGAATGGGGTGGAGAAGTTATAATATAAAGGAAATAATTTTGAATGGAAAAAAGTAAATAACTATAAAGTGTTGAATCCCATGAAGATTTGTAAGATTATCCTTATATTACCTTATTATTATTATAAAGCTATGTAGTTATATGAAAATATTTTATTATATGTCCAAACTGAATTGTTAAATGTAGGTTTTTTTAACTTCTGGAATTTAGGATTCTATGGGAGATGATGCATAACTCACTGTTTGGGGTTCTCGGGAGCTCGGTGACAATGAAAGGGTAAGGTACGTACATTGTACAATTTTTACTATAACATATATAACATATTACAATGTATTTATGTATTATGTCTTGGAATTAAAATTGTTCACAGGATGTCGAAGAGGTAGACTCGAACATCGATATAAGCATCCAAAACTTGCACCACTCTACTAATGTATGACAAGTGTCCTTGCATGGATAAATGCCAATGTGAATTGCCCTAAAACAAAAGTCCTATCCTTCGCTCAATTCCCTTATAAGTTTGTGTGGAAGCAGACTGGATATGAATGACTTTATAGGCAAAGAGGCAAACAGATGGGAGATTGCATTTCGTTCCTCCATCAAGTGGTGAGCAATACTACTTATGTACATTGTTGAACCATGTCATGAAATCAAGATCATTTATTGAATTATGAACAATTGACAACATTGTGTATCCCACATTCAAAGGCGCATGTACTGCATTGGGATTATTAAGTGAGGATAAAGAATACATCAATGTTATCACATGGTCGAGTTTTTTGGGAACTGGGGAATATGTGAGGTTCCTTTTTTCTATATTAATGTTGTATAACCAAATGTGTACGCCACACATGGTTTGGGAAAAAATATGGAAATATCTAAGCGATGATATTCAACACAGGAAAATATTACTTCTACATTTTCATGATAAATATATGGGATAATTTGAGTTTGCATCCCATTTATATCGTCCAAATTGGACTTTGCACCCCATTTTTTTTAAAAAAAATTATTTTGCACCCCCAACCTCATATGAAAGACAAAAATGTCCATCCACTAACAATTTTGTTGACCTTCAGCATATTCCCGATCGAGGGCATTCATGTCTTTTCACATGAGTTTGGAGTGCAAAAACAAAATTTTTTAAAAACGGGGTGCAAACTCAAATTACCCCTATATATATCACAATTTTTTCTTGGTGTTATATAATTATTGTTACAACCACATACAATAGCTGCACTTGCTGGTAGTGATAATAAAATCATTTATCACATGATAAATTGAAGAGTTTTACTTTGGTCGAGATAGAGAAGTTGTTGCCAGAAATGGAAAAACTTTGACGGAGTTCCCATCTATGACACGTCCTGACAGGTCATTGTTGCGCGATTTTTTCATAAGATTCAATTTTTATTTGACAAAATTACACATTACATACCACAGTAAGATTTTTTTTTAAAATAATTTATTATTCAATTCTAGACATACCTTGTGCATCACATGAATACTTCGTATAGTAGATTTATAAATAAAGTACTTCCTTCGTCCCATTTTACCTGTCTTACTTTATTTTTTGGATTATTCCAAAATAAATGTCGTCTTTCCCTTTTTAGAAAGAAATACGTGTTTCATAACATTTCACTTTATTATATTTAAATTTCAACCACAACTTTTATCTTTTAAACCACTTTATTAAAAATTGTGTTAAAAGACGTAAAGCCCGTTTGGTAGCACGAAAATCGGCTAATTATGCTGAAATTTATGAGGTTCTGACTGAAGTGGCTGCATTGGCTGATTTTGCTGATTTATGAAAAAAATATTTTTAAAATATATTTTATCAATAAAATAAAGAAAAAATTATATGTAAAATAGCTAAAATGATCATCTACAATAACTTCACCTAATACAGCCAGAAAAGTAACCCCAACCTTTTTTTTTGCTTATTACACAATTCAGCGCGCGAAAGAAAAAATTACGTGAGGAAAAAGTTGGATGATAAAACAACTTTGCCCATATGACCTTGTAAAAAGACTCAAAACTAGGAGTGGGCAATTCGGTTTACGGTTCGGTTTTCTTCGGTTTCGGTTCGGTTTCGGTTTATTTGGGTTGGGAGAATTTGTACCAAACTAAAACCATTTGTGTTTCGGTTCAGTTTCGGTTCGGTTTGAAGTTCGGTTTACCAAAGTAAAAAATATTATGTTTAATTTAGTTTGATATGATACGTTTGCTTATGTTTATTATTTTATTTGATCAAGTTCTATATTTCGAATTCTAAATGAAAGTAGTAGTCCATCTCATCTTTTTTTAATTTATTGATTATGTAAATAAAATGTAAAAGAAAATAAAAGATAGAAAAATAAATAATAAGATATTATAAATTGAAACTTCTAACATCTTTTTTATCACTACAAAAAATTCACTTTTCACAAAAAATAAGATAGTTGAATAGCATTTATAATATCACGTAAAATATTCATAAAACCTAAAAGAGTCGGTGGTACAAATGTTGTAATATTCACAATTTTATTCAAATGAATCATGTAAAAATATAAATGCAATTTGCTAGTGTTATCGCCAAACATAATAAATACAAATATGTCGTATTAGCTAACTTTGTCACAATGAATGTATGAAATATGTAAGAGTTAAAATGATATGAGTATATGCTTAAATATATGTATTTTCATGTCTAAATTATTTATTTATATCTTAAAAATGAAGAGTCATGAAGGTAAATACAAAGTGTGTGTTGTTCGGTTCGATTTACGGTTTTCCGTTTTAAACCAAACCAAACCAAAGTACCAAAACATTCGATTTGAGCAAATGTTTACCAAACAGTTTACTTAAGTAAACCTAAACCAAACCAAATCACACCTCCAATTTTAATAATATATGAAAGTTTTTTGAGTTTCATTAGTTCGGTTCGGTTTTGTTCGGTTTTTATCGGTTTCGGTTCGGTTTGGTTTAATACGGTTTGAAAGAACTAGTATCAAACACAAACCAAATTGCATACGGTCTGATTTAGCTCGGTTTGGTACGGTTCGATTCGGTTAAACCAAACCATTATGTACCTCTCAAAACTCAAAAGCATGACCACGTCAGACAAGGAAAGGAAGCCCTTGGACAACATCACAACATCAAAGGTCTTGCAGACTATTCCTTGGCTTGTAAACAAATTCGCCCTCTTCATCTGAGAAAGGAAGCTCGCAGACGGCAGAAATGGCGATGCAGACCGGGGTTTCAGCCTCCAAAGTGATCGTTTTGGTCGGAGCAGGTGATCCCTCCATCTATCTCGTCAGAGCAAATAAACAGTTCAAGCAATTACCTGAATTCCTAAAGTACCATAAATGAAAAGTATTGCTGCCATCATAGGGTTCATGTCTTTCTTCCTTCTATGATCTTATAATGTATTAATCAGTGTAATTGACTAATTTTCGTAAGGTACACTCACGGGCTAGGTGTTTGCACTTTTTTTTTGCTTAAGACTAGGTTAGGCGTGTGATAATTCATCTAAAGATCTAAACTTGGGGAAATATTAATGTCTACTCCTCGATAGTATAGTATGCCGGGTACTTAGCAGTCAGTTAAAATTCGACGTGTAATCATTATTTAGATACCCTATTGAAGTATTGAACTTAAGCTGAATACTGAACTAATACATACATCTGTATATGACTATATAATGATCCAATTATGATCACCTTATAACTGTTAGCATTCTGCGTAGTATATATTTTGTACGTTTACTAATCTGATAGTTTCCTAGCAGATCATAGTTCTCTTACCTTTAGCCTTTGTGCAGGGAATTTTTTTTCCTACTTACCTTCTTCATCCCTCACAGGATATTTTTCTGTAGTATTTACCAGCTCACGCATTCAGTCATTCTATAGGTCTGACTGGCTCAATAGTATTAAGGAGTGGACGGTTGTCTGATTTAATTTCTCAGCTTCAGGAGTTGATGAAGGGAGTAAATGATGCTGAGACGTCACCTGGGAGGTATGATGCTGCTCTTCTAGCTGCTCAGGTATTATTATGAATTTGTGATTCTCTTTCATCATCTATTTTTGATATAGATTCAGCTGACAATGTCCTGTTCAAGTTATGGATTATGTCACTGTACAAAAGATGGATCAGTATAAATGGATTATAAAAAGTGGGCAATCAATTTTTTAGATGTGGCAGGATGTTTTTACTTTATTATCATTAGATGCATTTTGTGTGTAGAGCTTACATTCATGTTATTTGAGCTCTCTCAAAATCTGAGTGGTCTATTTTTACTTTGTTGAAGTATATCATCATGATGTCGTTGTCACTTGTCACAGCCTTAAAGAAGCCTATTTTTAGTCATCATGCATATTCACATAGTTACATACTTACATAGTTACATTTAATAAGTACACAAGCTGCACTTGGAAAAGGTTATATGTACAACTTCCGATTGTACTCATGATATAATTGTTATCATGGTATCAAATCCAGGATCCGACCCTGGACCTAATGATAAAATCTTTGAAGCGAAACAGTTACTGTAACTGATTCTACTTCTCTCATTGCGTATTTAAGGAGTCTTTTAAATTTATTTTCAGAAGCAGCTTTGTGTGTTTTGCTCTAGTTTTGAGTAAGGGACTAAGGGAAGGATGCCTAAAGCTTTTGTTTTCTGTGTAATGATTCACACAGTCAATACACCAAGATTAGTTTTTTACCCCTCCCCGTTTTTTTAAGTTCATTTCTTATTTCAAACACGACTACTGTTTATTATTAAGCACATTTTTTGCAATCACTAAAATAAATCGGTTCTCAGAAGCACAAGCAAACACAAAGATTTAAACTTATGATGGCTTAATGAAAAGTATAATAACTATATATGTAAAGTATGTTAACTGTATACAATTTCACTGTGTTTACCTCCCTAGTCCCTACTCTACTTGGTTTCAGATTCGGCAGTTGGCACAAGACATTAAAGATTTAAGTATCACAAGACCAGTCACCATCTTCAACGGCGATTCTTCCAATAGTAAGTTACTGTGTGACTCACCCCCCATTTTTGGCAATTTTTGCATTTTAGGCTTCAAGCCATTTTATTTATGCATCTCTAGATATTAAGTAAAACCTATATTTACCATAGCAGATGTGTGCCTCATAAAAAGAAACTGATGTCTGAGTTATTCACAATACTCTCGTATCTATTTCACCCTAATTTTTGCGATGCTTAGATATCATTCTTCATTTTAATCATTGGCATCATAATTGAGAAGGTTCCGGAAATCATTTTAGGTCATTTTAGATATCATCTATTTCACTCTTATGATGGCTGGCTTCTCAATTTGAGACAGTAACATGAAATAGAAGTATTCACTATTGTGATCAAAGAGTTAACTGTATTAAAAGAAAAAAACAAACATCATAGGTTTTGTGCAGGAAGTTATGCATCTTACCTTCTTCCTGCTGCTGCACTTGGAGCAATGGGGTATTGCTACATGAAGTGGAAGGCAAGATTTTAGTAGTCACTTTAAATCAGTGGACCCTTGTAAATGTAGATGTTCTTTTTGTTATTATTTCGTATTGCTATTGTTGTGGAAGATAACATTAGCCTGTTCTTTTTCTTTTGACAGGGTTGGTCATTCTCAGATGTTATGTTCGTTACTAAGAGTAATATGGCCAATGCTGTTGCTTCTGTCTCAAAGCAATTAGAGAATGTATCTGATGCATTGGCTGTAGGTGTTGACCCTATAATTTGTAACAATAGTTATGATTTGATTTAATTCTTATATATAGTTTTGCTCATGCAGTCAACAAAGAAGCATTTAGCAAAGAGGCTGGAAACCTTGGATTGGAAGCTGGATGAGCAGAAAGAGACATCAGAGCTGATTGTAAAAGATGTAGGAAATTGTTGCTCATCATTGATATGTGTGTCTGTGTCTGCATTTCATTGATATGCACATCATACTTTTTTTCTAAATGCCAAATTGCCAAGGGAGTGACTTTATTCAAAATTTCAAATAGAAAATGAATTGTGCACATAAGGTTAATGTAACACAACAGTCTAGCACAGAAAAGATATCAGTGTTAATCCAGTGGTGGAACAGATCCTTCACACTAGAATGAGGAGCACATTAGTTAGTTTAGTACCAGCAAACAAGGCTCAAGCGAGCTGTCTCATTAAAATTTAGAAGGAAAATAATGTTTTAGTGAACAAGATTCACTTAACAGATATATAGCTTTAGCTACAGCAAGATAGTGATGGAAATCACTTGATTAACTACCAGGTTTACCAATTAACTTTGCTGCAGAAATACATTTTTCCCTCTGCAGACAGCCAGACATGACTGACACAATAAGATCCTCCATTATTCTAGTTATGCTGAATTTCATAGGGGAAAATCTTTGGTTGTATTTGGTGTTTCTATTCTCTCAAGAGGAGAGGCAAATCCATCTTTAGAGATGTCAATGACAGGCAGTGGTGCAAATTGCACGGACTATCAGCTAATTGATAGCTCTAGAGGTGGTTGTCTCTCTTCTTGCAGAAAAAGGAAAAACTAGTCCAACTTTGGAATTTGGATAGGAGACAAAAACTCATATCATATGTGGGTTTTGATATTTCACTATTATGTATCGTAGTGTAGTTTCGAAGATTTAATGACCTTCTCCATAGATTTTAAGCATGTAGCTGTTATTTCCTCCAACCTACTATCTTTGTCCCGTCTTTCCTTTTCATTTGTCCCATTCAATATCTGGTATGTGTGGTTTAAATTCATTCATGCTTTTCAAATTTAATATCAACCATAATTCTACTCTCTTAAATATGTGTGCTGCTTATGTCCCAAAGATAGTGGGATGGAGGTAGTATCAAGTTTTATAGGTTTTAGGATGAAATTTATTTAGGTAATTACAATGATGTGGAAGTGGCAGTAGTTGACCGCAACACAACTGCTAATTGTTTATGCTGCATATATGGTACATGCAGGTAAAGGAGGTGAAGGCTAATCTAAATCAAATTGGATATGACATAGAGTTTATTCATCAGATGGTATCTGGATTGGTAAGTTATTACGGAGTATATGTTATGGAATAGTAAAAAATTTTAGGTTTTTATTTTTCGTTCTTTGAGATAAAGGGTTGTGGTATAGCCATATAAGAGAAAATTTGAGGTGTGAGAAAAAAAATCATCCATAATTTTTTTTAATATAAGTTTTCTCATAGAATCTGTTTACATGTACAAAACTACAAATAATGAATGTTATCAAAACTGGGATAGGCGAGGGCATGGGTTTCCCCCTGGCTATGTCCATGATAATGGTGGTTGTTTGTAAAGTGTAAACTCTTTAAACTGATACCTGTAAATATTATTAATGTTCATCCAAAATGCAGGAAGGCAAAATTGAACTTCTTGAGAATAACCAGGTAAACCTCAAAACATGTCATAAGCATATTCCACTTCCATTTCCCCTGTTGTTATCATTGAACATATTCTAGTTACATACTTACATGAAAAACATCATCAGTATGGTTTTCTACTTACAGGATATCACGAATTCTGGTTTATGGTACTTGTGCCAAGTCGCTGGGGAGGTCGAACGTGGTCCACATCCTAAGCTTATCGAGGTATAAGAATTTTTCATCTTTTTAATCGTTACATTACTTACTATATTCATAATAGAAATAATGACATCAATAATGCATTAATACCTCCAGCTTTTTATAGGACAAAAATAGGATCACTTTTGAATCTGAACAGAAAAGAGACCTATTAGATATGGAAGGACTGAAATGACCTTTAATATAAAATAAATGAAATAAACTGGGTTCTCTTCCGCTGCAACATACCTCAGATCTGCAACGCCTTGCGCGGATGAAAACATTTTCGACAATCTCTCTTCTGCCTCCACCATCTGTCTGTTTACATTCTTCTTCTCTTCTTCTACTCATCTGCCTACCATCACCGCCTTCATCTTCTCGTCTCGACTCAAATCAGGCGAATGAACAACGGTGGCTTCTCAAATCTAGGAATGGAGAAATCAATGCTTCTAATTGAGATGTTGAAGGATATAGTAGTTTAGGCTGGAAAACATATGATGAGTCAAATGCACCTGTTATATGGCGGCTAGGCTGTCAACATTGGTGGCTAAGGATTCAGCATCGGCGGCTAGGGTCTTGAGGCGGACAGGCGGCTGTCGGCTATGGGTACAGGGTTGGTTTGAGCAGGGCCAAGGGATGGTGGCTGGACTGGAGTCTGGATTTGTGAGGTCGTGATGGGGCAGGGGGTTGGGTGAGGCATGGGACTGGGGTGATGCAAAGGAGGGGGTTGGGTGAGGTAGGGGGCTGGGGTGACTCAGGGGAGGGGGTTTAGTAAGGCAAGGGGCTGTGGAGGGCGGCGGCGGGTTGCCGGTGGTGGCCGGAGGCGGTGGTAGTGGTGGTCACTATCGGAGCAGTTAACTGTAACTGGCTGGGTCGGGTAACTGTATCCAGCGGGTCGAGTGGTCGAGTAACTGCAACTGGTGGGTCGGGTTATTGCGTCATTTTCAGTTATTGTGTTGCGTCATTTTAGCACTAGTGAGTGAGATTATAGAGTCAATTCCCTAAATAGGACTAAAAAGTGGCAAAATTGCACAAATAGGACTACATTTTTTAAATTCCCTTAATAGGACTATTTATGTGTGTTTGGACAAATATACCCTTGTAACTTGTAAAATGTTTTAATTAATAATAAAATCATAAAAAAATTTATAAAAATCGAAAAAAATACCCTAAAAATCGTAAAAAAATAAAAGAAAATTAATAAAAAATATTTTTAAAAAAAATAAAAAAAATATTTTTTTAAAAAAAATAAAAAAATTAAAAAAAAAATCATAAAATTAAAAAAAAAAACATTACCACCCCTGCCACCCCCAGCACCACCAACTCCCATCACCGGAGAAAAATATGCCAACATTTTAAATAATGCCATAATGATGGCATATTCAATGAAAATGTTGGCATATTGAAGAGTAATTATGCCATCTTTTTGGCATTTTCAGAAAAATGTGGCATTTTTTTATCAAAAGTGGAAGAAATTTCACCAATCGGAGGTGGTGGTGCTGGGAGGCGGCGGGAGGCGATGGGAAAGGTATCCATATTTTTTTTTCATTTTTTATGGGTTTTTACTATTTTTTATTATTTTTTTTAAAAAATTTAAAAAATAAAAAATTAATTTTTTTATTTTATAAATGTTTTATAAATTTTTTATAATTTTTTTACGTTTTTAAAATATTTTTTACGTTTTTTATGATTTTATTATGAATTAAAGCATTTCATTATGAATTAATACTCTTAGGGGTATTTAGGGTAGAAAATCAATGTTTAGTCCTATTTAGGGAATTTTAAAAGTAGTAGTCCTATTTGTGCTTTTTAGGAACTCATTAGTCCTATTTAGGACAATTTCCGGAGATTATATTAGTGCAAGGGTATAATAGTCTCTTAACATCTTTTTAGTCTTATTTTTGAAAACTGAAAAAGGTCACTTTTTGTCAAAAGGTCATTTTTATTAATACTTATTACATAACCCCATCATCATTCTTTAATATCGATATCTTCTTTCCTGAAAGTGTGGCTGAAGTTGGTTGTTGAACTTGCTGAATTGTAGAAAACATAACTAATTAACTAGGACATATTTTGCAAATAAAGAACATATATTTTGTAGAACCTAATACTTGGTATCTAAAAAAAATCTACAAATGTCAAGAAAGAAAAAGTGGAGGTCAAATTTGACTTTTTTCGTTGTCTTCTACTCAAGGGTCAAACCCCATACTCATATCATCCCCATTTCCACAACTAGCTCTCGTAATTAAGGTTTATTTTGGTTGTGGTATAGGAGGTTGGTGCTAAGCTAATACAGCATTCAAAATTGATTCCTGCAAATAATAATTCAATAAAGGTATGTTATCTGAATTGTGTGTATTAAATTGTTATTATGGACATGGTCTGACGAAACTGCGGGTTCTGTTTGTCCAGGGACTTCAGTTCATTGCTGAAGCGGACAAAACAACAAAAGAGCAAGACCTTTTGGTAGGTGATGATGATGCAAGTAAAGGAGACCCGCCCAAAGTTGTTTCTGCTAATAAAATCCATAGGTCGTATCGAGTTGGCTTGTCCATGACTTCAAGTATGTTGGGTGCCCATATGTGATAGGACCACACTACTATCTCAGCATTTTTTGCCCTGAAATGTGCATATATTTCATTGTTTCCTCCTCAAAGGTGAAGTCGTTTGATGGTGATTATATCTGTAGCAAACCAGTATCATTCATATTGTATTGTACTGTACCCTCGTGTAATCATGGAAATAATAACAAAGATTCAGCTACAGATACAGCGTGTTATTAAGGAATTCATTTTTTGATGCAAAGGAATTATTGTTCATCAGAATCAGACGACCATGTAAGTGTACATGTTTAGAGTAATTATTACTAGTATTATTTATAGTGAAATATTCGTTGCATTGCATATTTGGTGATTGAATAACAAAACACTTTTATCTTGTGTACTATAGCTTCTTTTTCCTACCCTTTCCCGGTTTGGGTTTGGAAGATGTGACATTTTGATGGCTGTCGAGGATGATGATGACGGAGGCTCTTGCTTCATTATCCTATTAGGGTGTCTAGGCACCAATTCTGTAACACCATCATCAGCTCCTTTCCTGCAAAGTAATTACATTAAATGCATGGCTATTTTAGCTTGTACTTGAAGTGTTTATCATTAATTCTTATTACTAGCACACTGTAGCACATACACAAGCTCTCCCCTCTCACAGTTTCACGTGTTAGTGTGAATATGTGATCATACAGTGGCAACGAACAGGATACGATACAACTCTGCAGGATGGTCGGAGGACCAATAACAGAAACAGACCACCGGATACATTCATACATCTAATAAAAAAAGAAATAGTGGGGCTGGTGTTTCATCTTGGTGCCATATGGCAGTGTATTTCAGTGGTTTCATACTTTCATGCCTCAAACATCACATTAGAATTCCAGATACACACGAATACATTAAAAAAATAAAGAGTGTGAGAAGCAGGGCTGAAAGCCTGAAACCATATAAACCAACTCCATGTTGTGGAAATATACTGCACCTACATTTGTATGTAGAAGCGGACATGATCCTGATCTCGGGATTAATTTTTCCGCTTCCGAGCCATAATTGAGACCGTTGGGTGGGTATATAGAGACCAGTCCCGGGACCGAGACCGGCCGGTTGCAACTAGATTTCAGTCATTTTTTTACATTACATCCATTGTAAGCAACTTAAAGGGTGGGGCCGTGGGAGTCCATTTAAAAGCTGATAAAAGTGGAAATTTGATGAAGAGAGGAATGGAGGAAAAAGTAAAATAAATAAATAAACAAACCAAGACCAAATCAGGACTGAGAGGTGACCAGAAGAGGAAATATAGGTCCAGAACCTCATAATTTTTTTTTAAATAACCAACCGGTCTAGAACTGAAACCGTGTCCATGAATAGATGTAAGCAAAGCCTGTTTTTTTCTCTCTAAACAATTCTGGTTTCATATCAGCATACAGAAGACTTCTAGTCGACATAATACAACTCATTCCTTATATTTAATCCTTGACAATTTAGCCAATGCCCAACATTCTCACATAGTTTTAGCATAATCAAAATCAGGCTTAAACTCACTTTTTAACCACATTTTTGAAAAGTATACCACTCAATTAAACCCTAAAACGAACTTCTAAAACCCTATATATATTCAATATATATATCTATTGAAAATGATTTCAATTATCTGCTTGCACAAAGATCTTCAAATTGGGAAGATAGTGTAGAAGAAGATAGTGCAAAAGAAGTAGAAGACGCAAGCTGAAAAAGGGGAAAGTTGAAGGGGGTGGGGTGGTAAGGGAAAAAGATGAAACTCAGAGAAAGTTAACAACGTACTAAAAAGTAAAAACTATCTTTGAGGGAACACGCTTTAACTTAAATCTGTATATAAATAAAAAGGGATTTGTCAAAAGTAAACTTAAAAGGAAAAATTAAAAACTAAAAAATGTACATCACTTTTTTACAAACTAGATACATTTTTTCTGTAATCAATGCAAAATAACATTTAATATATCATAAAAGTTCTGCTACTAGAATAGATGGATACACTAGTATAATAAATTACTAAGACACCGCTACCACTAGTAAAACACTAAACCCTGAATTCTGAGAGTAAGGATAGGGTAACAATCATATCAATCATCATTTACCCGGTGCCGCAAAGGCTCCCACCTACGGTGGGGTAGGGGGTCGAATGTACGCAGTCTTACCCCTATACTAAAGCACAGAGAGACTGTTTCCGGATGACCCATAATGAAAATCGCGTCCAAAATGCATGGACTGACTGCTGCTTAATAACCAAGAAGAATAGACAGTTTGGTGAGCCATTTTGCTTTATTCCATCATATTCTCAAGCCAAAAATTAATGAATCTTTTGCTTCGTAACATTATACATTTTTACATTTTTTGTGCACATAGCTTTTCATGCACTACAAATGGTTACTCTTGGTGCATGTACAAATGATGAAGCTGCTAAGAGTTGACGAGTATAAAGGGGTCTATTATAAAATAGAAGAGATGCATCATAAATCACTAGACTTTATCCTCTTGCCTCTACTGCAAGTACCTGCACATGGAGAAAACAAAACACAATATATTATATTAGACACACTACATGACTACATCATAAAAGATTATAGGTTCAATTTGGTATATTCATAGGACTTAAGTTCTTATGTTTCAAATCGACCCATACGCATTACAACTTTATTTCATTGGCTTCACCCGTGTCAGAATTATAACATGTTTCTCTAGAACATATACCAAGCTTTTGACTTCTCCCCAACAACACAAAATGACATACAAGACGGCACACAACAATGTACTACTATATGTTAAAAATATACTACATAGTATTATATTTTAGTATTGTAAAAACAAAAAATATTTGCCTAGCAGGTTTTAAGCTTCTTTTTCTTCTTCAGATATTATCTTATACCTATATATTAGAGGATCCCTCATAATGTTTGGGAGTTTGCAGGTGAGGCAAGGAGAAGGCTTAGAGGGGGAGAGTAAAGAGAAAGGGAGATGGGAAGGGATTTCTTCCTCTTGTTTGGGAGCTACAAATTTGAAAAGAGGGGGGGGGGGGGGTCAAAAAAAATGTAATTAAAATTATCTTTTTGTAGATTAATGAGGTCAGATTTATGCTAAAATATACTAGTATATTTTAGTTTTGTACAACAACAACAACATTATCCCAGTGCCTTTGGTGGGGTAAGGGAGGGTCAGGTGTACGCAACCTTATCCATGTACGGAGGCAGGGAGAGACTTTTTCCAGATGACCCATGACTACATCGCGTCAAAAATTGCATGGACTGACTATTGCTTCATAACAAAAAAGCGCAAACAGTATATTTTAGTTTTGTAAAAAAAAAAAAAATTGCCCAGCAGGAAGCATTTTTTCCTTCCCCGGTTATTATCTTATACCTATATATTAGAGGACCCCTCGGTAATTATCTCTATGCTATACCTATAAGCAGGTTTTATGCATTGCTTTGGATTCTACCTATACTGTCAACTTCCTCGGTCATTTAGTGTTCTGTCCCATAGTAACTTATGTTCCCTGTGTTACTGTGTATAAAATACATCCCTCAATGTCTGAAAGATTCAAATATTCTTTATTTGGAAATGGAAAGATATCATAAATTATTGATTCATTGCCTTGATTACAAAAAATTCAAGAATAGATTCTTTCATTCAACATCCTCCTTCCAATTGTAAAAACTAACAACAAAAGCATACGGCACTAAAAAATAAAAACAAAGACAAGAAAACTTGGTATTCACACCTAATGTTTACAACAATATTTTACTTTGCCGCCCTAGAATCCTAGATCACCCCAGTATAGGGCACAAAGTTAAATACTATTGAGGTAAGCATGAAGTGAAAATGCCAAATTCCGTTAAGACTTTACACCCCATGTTTTACCTTCATAAAACATGGGGTGCAAAGTCAAATACTAAGGTGAAAATGAATGTGAATAATTGAATATTATTTTTCCGACAAAGAAAGAAGTTCCTTGGAAAACGAATGTTTGCATATATAATATCAAACTACGGCAAAGTTGGAGCCCGTTTGGTAGCATGAAAATCGGCTGATTAGGCTGATTCTGCTGAAATTTATGAAGTTCTGGCTGAAGTGGCTGATTCTGCTGATTTAAAAAAAATTACTTTTAAAATATATTTTATTAATAATTAATAAAATAAAGAAAGAATTATATGTAAAAATAACTAAAATGGTCATCTACATCTACAGTAACTTCAGCCAATACAGCCATAAAAGTAACTTGAACCTTACTTTTTCTGCTTATTACAGATTTCAGCGCGCGAAAGCAAAAATTACATGTTTGGTGAAACAGTTGACTGAGTTGGCTGATAAGTCTAATAAGCCGAAAAACAGTGGTTCCAAACGGCCTCTTGGTGTAGCAAATAATTGTGTAAAAGGATTAAATACGTGGAGCATGCCAACGCGCTTAATGTAGAGCAAGTTGGCATGATAATTGGCCAGGATTCCGAGTGCTCTATTGTGAGCATGCTGGTGACTTGGCATGCTGCATTGCTCCATATATATTTCGGAGTGAAAAGGTCATACTTCATTTTCTATCATACTTTATGTTTTTCCTTTTATTTTCAAACTTATTTTTTACTACAATTTCTATACAACGGAAGGTTTTTTAAAAGCAAAAAACTCTCCCCCTGCCTCTCACTTTATATTTACTAATTTATTAATGTACTTATTTACTTTGGGTTTCAAATTGCGTTGGCTACTAAGTAAGTAGTAGGTGGGTTAAATATAAAACCTATTGGAAAAACTTTTAGGCTTTGCCTACAAATGCAATGACCTCAACAACTTTGACAAAATTGGATTTACACCAAAAGGCCTGGCTTATAGCAAGGAAGGGTCCGCTTTGAACTCGGGAAATACTTGGAAAACAAAGAATAGCTCAAGGCCTCAATCTAAATAAAACTATTTTAGGTGTTTGTTCAAAATCATTATTTTATTTATTTCTATTATATAATGGCTAAAATTTCAGTATACACTCCCTCTGTTCTTAATTAAATTTTCTACTAGGTATTTTGTGGGTTTTAAGAGGAAAATTGTGGGAATAATATAGAGTGTAGGATAAACGAAAAAGTAGGAAAGAGAATATAATAAGAAAAGGAAAGTAATGAAAAAGTATGAAAGAAAAAGTAGTTTGTAAAAAGTACAAAAGGTAAGGATATAAAGGTATTTTGATAGGAAAAATTTACTAAGAATGAAAAGATACACAAATAATAAAAAACTTCTCAAAAAGAAATATGAGACAATTAAATAAGGACGGG